CTCCAAGTATCTTGACAGCGTACAAATAACTTGTTCATTATCTTATTTATTACCTGTCCTTTCATATTCTAAAATCTTTGAGTGGTAATTTTGCTTATCACCATATACTCAGTAATCAACACTTGAATAATCACTCCACTAAAATTGAAAAGATAAACAATAATAAAATTCAAAGGTAAAGGGTTTTTGGAAAAAAAGTCTCACAGTAAAATACTTTAGTTTTCAAATTTTTCAGTTGAACATGGGAGCACTGTTCCACTGAGCTGTATATTCAGTCCTTATTTTGGGTCTTGCTAAATTGCTCTAGATGGCTTCAAATTTACCATCCTCCTGTCATAGCTTCCTGAATAGCTTGGATTATAGGTATGTACCACCATGCCTCACTGTTGGTTGTTGCCACTCAAACTCAGTGTGGGTCTTACCTCTTCAGTAAGTCTATTATCCACATCCAAAACTGTGCTAAGCAAATCAGCGGATAATCCAGTATCACACATCTATAATCCAGTATCATATATCCTTGATCCAGTCACTGTCTAGCATCCCATCTATGAGTGCATGATGCTTTGGGGGGGACATCTCCATATAAGCCGTAAACACAGTATTTCTTTGAAATTTTGCTGTTCTTATGACGAGTCTGTCCTCTAAGTTTCTATAAATGAGGGGTATCTAGATATAAGCCATAATACAATATATCCTTAAAATCCTGTTGTTTTCCTGCTGAGCCTGTCCTTCTCTTTTCTGCAGATGCTACTTAAAGATTCATCATCCTTGTTTTATCAAAGGAGTCATCATTCATCAAAAGTCATTGACCCAGAAAATCTGAGTCATTCCTAAGAACTCCTTCACAGCCCACAGGGCAGGCTGAGATAGCGATAGAGACTGAGCGTGGTGGCACGAACTTGTAATCCCAGCACTTGGGAGGTTGAAAACACGAGAATCACTACAAGTCTGATCTATGTAGTGTGACTCTGTAGACCCTGCCCTAAAATACAAGAAAAAAATAATTAAAATTTTAAAATGTTTTTTATTTTTTCCTGTTTAATTTCTCATAACTTTTTACCCAATCTTGTAAGTTTTTGTCTGGTAACCTAAACAACTAATTTGCAAATAACATTATATACAACAGCCATTGTCAGATACCTATTATTTTAATGAATTCTGTGTCATTCCTAATGCTTTTCTCTTTCCATTTTGTATTCTTTGAAAAATAAAAAGAAATTGAAGTACAAAACAAAACAAAACAAAAGAACTCCTCAAGTTCTATTATGTCAATCTCAAAAAAAAAGTCCTGAGTTCATCACCTATTTTTTAATCTTTACTGCCACTGCAATCAGAGCCATCCCCTGAATGACTGCAACAAGAATTAACTAATTAATCTTAATCACAGTAGTTTTATTTTCATTCTTGCCTTTCTTTAATCCACTCTTCATATAGCAGTGATTGATTGATTGATTGATTTTTGAGACAGGATCTCACTGTGCAGTCCAGGCTGGCCTTGACCTCACCATGTAGCCCAGAATGGCCTCAAAGTCCTTTCTCACTGTTCCCAGCCTTCCTAATGCTGGGATTGCAGGCATGTGCAACCAGGCCCATTTAGTAACTTCTTTTTTAATCTGTAAAGCAAAACAACTCAATACAGTAATGTATAAATTTATACTCTCCTTCTACTCCTTTTTAATTAAAGTCCTTCAAGGTGACTAGTTGTACGCTAGATAGATGATGTATGAATCCTTTTATTTTTTTCTGTGATTATATAGAAATGTACTGATTTTTGAGACTTGTTACATGGACAAATCTATGACATTATGCATATACACATTAAAGTGCATAAATGTATAAGAAATTGATAAAAGAATAAGTACTAAAAGTACTATTCTCTCATTGGCCAGAAAGAGGAGTGACTATGAGTAATTATTTGGTGTCTAAGAATTATTAGTTTCTTACTATCAGTATCTGTTAATAAATGGCTCTCAGTACAGGGATGCATTGCCCCCTAGTGTTGGGTACTTTGGGAGGCATAGTACTGCTGTCATGTAGTCTTGGGGCCAGGCATTGTAGGCTTCCTGTAATGTGGACCTGCTTCTCACAGTGAAGAACTATTCTGTCGAGGAGTACTGTGCATACCAGGAGTTCCAGCATGCTGGGAGACTAAGGCAAGAGGCTGGCAAGTTTGAGCCCTACCTGGACCACTCAGTGACTTAGTGCGATCTTTCTTCAAAGTAAAAATATAAAGTGCTGGTGGTGTTAGCTCAGTGTGAAGGTCCTGAGTTTAATCCTCCACATGGTCAAAATATTAAAAACCAAAAACCAAACAAAAAACTGTATTGTGTCCCTCATTATTTTTATATGTCCTACTATAGTGGACATATGATTTTCTGAACCTAAAATGTAACGTATTTTACATATAAGCCACAAACTTGTTTTTAATTTTAACAGAGAATATTTTAGGAACACGTCTAAAATACATACAAAGGCAGATCAGTGTTGTCTAACAGAGTTGGCCAATATTCTCTCTGTATCAGCTGGCATTTGTAGCTTTCACATTTATGGGAATTTTATTTATAGTGTTAGCCAATGATGAATTCATTGCATTTTCTAGAATAGTTAGGGCTGAACATGTATATATTGAAATGCAAATAATTGCATCCTTAGTTACTTTCTTGCTACTGGAACAAAATACCAGATAGCCACAAGTTAAAGGAGGAAAGGTTTATTTTTAGCTCTCAATTTGTAGAGGTTTCAGCCCAGAGTTAGCTAGCTCCAAGGCAGAGTGGCATGGCAGAAAGGTACTGAGGAGAAGGAAGAGCTCATGGTACGGCAGGCAGGAGGCAGCCTATCAGCCATCCTTCTGTCCCTTATCTTCCATCTTGATTTTAAGCCTATCAGTCTCACTCAGAACCAGGCTAAACCAAATACTGGCCTAATTCAGTCATCACACACTCTTAATCCAGAACACACACTCATAATCCAGCTTCCTTCCAAAACCCTTACCTATGAGTGCCTGAGGCTTTGAGGGGAACATCTAGATAAAAGCCATAACACATTCTACAATCCTTTCTTCTTTTCTTCAATATTTATTTGGTGCAGGGTACGCAGCTCTTGTCAGGCAGGCACTTAGACCACTGAGCTATCTCCCCAGCCCCACTGCTTTTTTATTTTTATATTTTTTTAAATTTAGTACAGGGTCTACAGGGTCTCACTGCACAGATTGGACTCATAGTGATCCTCCTGTTTTCAGCCTCCCAAGCGCTGGGAGTAGAGGCACACCCAGCCACACCGGCTCAGTGTGCCCTGGGGGCGGGGCTGGCATGGCAGGCCCAGGGATCAAACCCCTGACTGTTGCATCTGCCTAAGCAGGCGCTTTAATCGGCTTAGCTATCTGGCTGGCCCTCCATTGCTTTCTTTATACTTCATAAATAATACATTATTTTTATTTAAAACAAAACCATGAATGTAGGTAGGTTACAGCACCTATGAATTTCACTTTAGGCTAGCAAAGGGATCACTGCGAAAATCTTTATTTCATATATGAAAGGGGAACTGGGTAACATAAGGTTGTCACCAGATTAAGTGATGTTTAGATCTTTTTTACATCATGCATGGCTATGCATGCCCAAGAGAGGCCTGTTTACAGCTCCCAAGAGCTGGGATTATAGGCGTGTGCCACCACACCCAGTCTCAATCCTTCCAATTCTTATTACAAGCAGTTCTGATTCATTCTAGTCTTTAATAATGGGAAAAATTCTTTTTATTTTATTCTTTTCATCATTTTATTCACCATAAAGCAAATGACATACTTAAGAAAAGATAAACACTTAAAAACATCACCTAAACTTAACGGGCATTTCACTATTTCGCAAGTTTTCTTGCTCCACAATCACACTGCAATTCTATAATTCAAATTTATGGTAATAAGTTGATGACATATTTTAATTTTTAAAAACAGGTAACTTTTTCTAGTCTGTGAAGAAATCGAAACAGAAAAATGAGTATACTTTTTTAAAAACCAGAATGAAATGGCTTCTCATTATTTTAAAATTGCAACCTCCCTTGCTTTTTTGATTGGGTCCTCTCCCCTTCCCTAATCCCAACTCATGAGACTCGCAGGAATGGAGAGGCATTTGAGAGCTTCTTACCGTTCCAATCCCAAGGTGCAGCGCAGTACTAGCACCCAGCAGGAGGAAAGTGGGAATGAACACATAGAAAGCACAAACGACTGCTTTTGAGCGCTGCTGGGAGCTCAGTGCTAGAAGGCAACCTCTTGGGACCAGTATAAAGGCCGAGGTTTGTGCCCTAGGATTCCCGGGGCTGGTTTGGGGGCTTGTAGATGTGTGAGGAGTTTGGGAGCTTGGCGCACACGACTTCCTGGCAGGACTCTGAAACTCCCACTCATAAGAAACACACGTTATTTTTAAGTGATGGGTCTTCCGTCCTCCGCCAACGTGCACATGTTTTAGGGTATGTCCTCCCTGACGCTTTCTTGCTCAGATCTGGATCGGGGTGGCGAGTGCTGACTGAGCAAAGAGGGGGAAACCAATTCAAGCGCACTTTGCCCGGCGAACGCCCAGCCGGTGTCAAATTCTCCAACAGGATCAAATTGCGCGCTCTTCCTTCCCGCACCTCGCCCCACCCCCACCCCACCCCGCCCCTTCAGACACCTATGTTGATGGGCGGGGCAGAGGGGGGTGCCCTCGGCTTTCCCTCAACTGGTGACGTTGGCGTTAGCGGACCCCGAGGATGCGCACACACCAAGGAAATGCACAGTCTGAAGGACTGCACCCGACCTCAGAGACCAGAGCAAAATGCGAAGACAGCGAGCTAGCAGCCACGTGAGGTGGGAGCTCCCCGCCGCGTTCACTGTAGAGACTTCAGCTCCCGGCCTGCCTCGGGGCGGTGGCCCTCGGAGGACTACAACTCCCAGAATGCCGCGGGGCGCGACCGCCGCAACCTTCCACTCAGCCTCTCGCCCCGCCCCTCCCCTGGCCCTCCCGGCCGGATCGGCGTGCGCCTGCGCACCGGAGGCCGGAGGAGTCTTACCCTAATGTAAGATGGTGGCCCGTCTGGCTGTGGAACCCACCGAAAGCTGAGAGTCTCTCTCAGCCGTAAAGGTCGGACTCGCTGAAGCAATCAGGTCTGGTTTTGAAGAGTTTTGTTCTCGACACTCAGTCAGTGATCTCTCGCGAGGACGCGGCAGCGCGTGGAGTCGGCTGAGGGAAAAGCGAGGCACGGCAGGCGGGTGAGTATGCGGGGCTGGGCTTAGGGGAAACCCGGGGCTGACCGGCTACGAGAGCGCGGAGGCTTCGCGGGGATTGTGCAGGCCGCACCCCCTCCCTCCCCACCCCCTCCTTCTCTTCATCCTCCTCCTCCTCAGCCTTCCTCCTCCTCTTCCTCTCTCTCCCCTCTACGCCACAGCAGTTACCACCAGGAAAAGGGAACGGGGCAGGCGGCGGCGCGGCGTCCGGCGCCGACTCCTTCGAGAATTTCCCCGCCCGGGGAGCGAGCCGAGGCGTCTTCCCATCTCCAGCTCTCCCTCACAGTTTTAGAGGGGCAGGGTTTTGAGGTCTCAGCGCTCTTGCTTCGCCAGCCCCCTTTCTCCTCTGGCGTCCTTTCCTGCTGGCCCCGATCTTCCAAGACCAAAGCCATCGCTTATAGACTGACCCGTGTCGCTGCTGCTCTGTACGGGTAAGCCCGCTGCTCGGTGCCCACCCGTCTTGCTGCTGTGTTCTCCTCCTGGACTAGCAATCTGGAGTTAGTTTTTGCCCCCCTGAAGCTTGCAGCCAACCCCCGGCGTGCCAGCCAGACTGGAGCGTCTTCCGACTTGCAGCCTTTGCCTGCACACCTGTCATCTACAAGCTGCCCTTTAAGTATAGAGATCCTGCGGCTGCTCCTTCTGACCCACCTGTTTCCCAGCCTTCTTGGGAATTGTCCATTCGTTGCCCTCTTTCCTATACAGATTCTTTCAGCACACGTTCCCAGAAAAAGGGATGCCCGTGTTGGTTCTTGAAAAGTAGAAGTTGGGAAGTGAGGTAGGATACTGTTAAACGTTTGAGTAAAGATCTTATTCAGCTACTCAGGACAGAACGATTTTATTTTTGCTGTCAGTGATTTATTTGTCGATTATTCGCTCTGTTGGATCGTGGCTTTCCCCTCCCGTTTTCGTTTTGGACCTTCTCCACACTACCAACATTCCTCTGAATTACCTCTCCTCAGGCTCTGATTATACCAATACATATTAGCCTAAGTGTGTCAAAACAAGATAAATCTGGCATGCACACAAAGTCATCTGTGAACGCCACAAGCGAATATAAATTACATTTTGATTGTATGTGGGTTACAGATCCCTTTTATATTGATAACTTATTACTGAGTTATATTGAGATTCAGCTTAATTGATGACATAATTTATTTATTGTTTGAGTGGAAATTTCCTCTCTAGCTACTATAAGATGTACTTAGTAGTTTTGGAACTGGGACATACTCTTAGACAATGTCACGATAGTAGTTATCTGAATAAATTGTTTTGGAAAATACATTAGTTATGTATAAAAGACATAATGATATTTCTTTTCGTAAACTTACATCCCTTACATTTTTCACAGAAGAGACTAGTTGAAAGCAATGATAAAGTTCTCCATTATGGTGTTCACTGTCTTTGTTGTCTAAAGTGGAAAGCAGAAAACTAGAAGCTTGTGATGTACGTGTTTTAGTGAAATCAAAATGGAAATGTGACTAATAAGGAATCTTTGCTATGATAGGCAACTTTGAAACGAGAAATTACCAGAAAAGCAAACAAGATTATGTAGATCAGTGACATACATGTAAAATTTGGACATAAATAAGACTTTTGTGTTCTTAATATACTTGTAAAAATATTTCAAGTAATAGTAATAATCTCATGCAGCAGTCTGTCTTATTGGTAAAATAATAGTACTTTAAGAATAAATACAAATGAATTGCTCTTTTCACTTTCAAAATTATTATAATTTCTACATATTTTACCTACAGAACGTGAGGAAATTTAACATTTGTTTATGTAGTCTCTGGCTTGTGCTTTTTTACCAACTGTAATGTAAGGTTAGAAAAGCTGTTCATAAAACTTTTTCCCTTTTGGCCACTTAAATCCCTACTTGGAGATTTAAATAAACTCCTACTCTTCTAAGGATTGGAAGCAATAGGAATAGCAGACCTTATCCTAGATTATGACTTCAGCTTTGAAAAAAATTACTGCCTGTAGTTTATCAGTAGGAGAGGAGGGTTTTTTTTTGTTTTTCAAACCAGGAATCAAACTCAAGACCTCATGTGTGCTTGCCCAGCAGGCAGTGAGCCGCTGAGCTAAATCCCTGGCCCCAATAGGAGTATTTTTAATGTAACTGTTTTAAACTCCAAAGTAACAAATACATGCTGGCTGAGGGACTTGACACTTTGTATATAATGCTAACCTAGGTAGGTCTGGAAACCCTTGGCAGTGATACTTGGCGTGTGCTAAGAAGAGGGCTATTTGTCTGACATAAACAAGTAGATGATTTTAATATTTCTTTCCTATTGGTTTTGGATTTTTAAGACAGGATCTTGCGGTGTAGTTTAGGCTCTTCTTCAATTCACTGTATATGGCCCAAGCTGACCTCGAACTTGTAGTGATCCTCCTGCCTCAGCTTCCTGAGTGCTGGGATTATAGGAATGCACCAGTTTGATGGCTCATCTTTTCTTTTGTGAAAGTATTTGGTTTGATAATTTTTTTTCTCAAGTAACTTTCCACCTCTTTATTCTCTGCCTGTGGTGATCAGATTCTCAGATTCAGCCCTGTGGATTAAAAATGAATTCACTTTGAGATCTTTGAGATGTCTAAAGAAAAAGATCAGTGACACATTGATAGGAAATAAACTGAATTTGGAAATATTTTTATGGGTTAAGTTCTTAGTTATAACTTTATAAACATTTCACCTTCATTCTTTCACAGTTTCTTTTGACAGTCTACACTATATTTTGTCAGGTTCAGTTGGTTGAATTCTTTAAATGAATAGATTATTTGTGTAAAAAGGTTTTAAACATGAATTAAAGTTAGCGTACTATACAGTTTGTTTTCTGAAAATTGCATAGGCAGTTCTTCAGTTCTATTAGGATGAACAGTTATAATCAAATAGCAAAATACAGGAAAATAAAATTGCTTTGTAATCCCCTTCAATGCCCTTTTAGTCTAAGGAAGCACTAGCAATAGCTTGTAAACATCACTATGTAAAAGAAAGGGTGTTGCCTAAGGATTAATTTCTAGCACTAAGGGAGTTTCATTTATTTTTATAATGTTGGTAATCAAACCCTGGTCCTCACATATGCTAGTGTTCACAGAGGAGTTTTATTTTAAAAATGACTCTATGAGCTGGGTGTGGTGACACATGCCTATAATCCTAGCACTCAGGAAGCAGAGGCAGGAGAATCAGGAAGAACAGGCAGGAGAATGGGGAGTTTGAAGCCAGCCTGGGCTACAAAGTGAGTTCAAGGCCAGCCTGAACTGCATAGTGAGCTCCTGTGTCAAAAAATAAAAAAATAACAACAAAAAAAGGTTTTATGTGTTCTACTAAGAAAATGAAAAACTGCTGTGCTTGATGGTGCATGCCTATAATCAGTACTTGGGAGACTGAGGTAGGAGAGTCCCTGTTAGTTCCAGGCCAGCCTGGGCTACATAACTGAGTTCAAGGCCATCTTATACTACATAATAAGACCCTGTCTCAAAAAACCCAAACAAGCAAACAAAAAAAAGAAAAACTGACTTTTTAATCAAAGCAGTTTGGTTTTAGGCTGCTTCCTTTTCTCTTGCTCTCTACAGTTGGTTCTAAAATGAAATTACATTCTATATTTCGAAGAATTTTTTTTTTTTTTTTTTTTTTTAAGGAACCGGGGATTGAACTCAGACCCTTGCGCTTGCCAGGGAAGTGCTTATTCCACTGAGCCATCTCCCTGGCTCTGAAGAATTTTTCTTTTTATTGCTATAACTAATTTTTGACAACATCTATCCCAACTCAGTGTTTATTGTTTTTGTAAGCTGTTTAATTGAGGAAGAAAGTTTTAGGTTATTAAAACTTTAAGCCTCTGTTGAAAATTCACTTCATTCTCTTTCAATTTATAGTGATGCTGTCTTGACTTTTTGTGAGGAAAGTTACATTTGGCTTAGTTGGTTCCAAAGAAAACAGTAGGGAAATAGGTTATAGAGGCTTTTGCTGTTCTAGAAACAGTATAACTAGAATGTACTACATATTTTTCTCAAAGGATTTCTTAATCTAAATGGAACTTGTAAATGGTTTTCATCCCACTGGGATAGCATGTATTGGATAAAACTTGTTAACACATTGTGATATTTTACAATCTTTGTTACTTTGGTATTACTAGAAAAAATTTGCAAAGACCTATTGTTGACTAGATAGGCAATATCCCCAGTATTTTCTCTTCTTTTTTTTTGAGTTGTATGTTTGGGAGACAGGCCCTCACTATGTAGCCCATACTGCCCTGTATTCTCCATCTTCCTGCCACAGCCTGCTTGCTGGAATTCCAGATGTATGCCTGGCTTATAGCCCTAGTATTTTAAAGGCTTTATTTATCTTTGTATGTCTAAGATTTTATATATTTATATATCTCATATAGTAAGATATATCTTGGGCCAGCCAGATAGCTCAGCAGACTAAAGCACCTGCTTAAGCAGACACAGGGGCCAGAGGCTAGATCCCATCCTACTGTGCTGGCCCCGCCCCCAGGACGTGCTGAGACAGAGATTGACACTGGAGATTGAGACTGGGCTGGTGGGCGTGGTGGCGCAGGCCTACAATCCCGTTGCTTGTGTAGTGAGATCCTGTAGACCCTGTACTAAATACATTAAAAACAAAACAAAACAAAAAACTCAGTATAGGGACTTCTTTATTAGAAAAGGTAGCAACTTTTCCAAATGTAGTAATATGACCCTTTTTTACTCAGAAAATTGCTTATGAAGAATTTCAAGACTATTTGGTCCTCTTTTAATTTTTTTCAGTGCTAGGAATGGAACTCAGGACCTCGAGCTTTCTTGCAGAGCATAGAGCTTGCTTATAGCAGTGTCCCAGTCCCCTTTATATTTAAGTGGCTTGTGTTTTTATCAGAACAGGAAAATTTAAAGATAGTACAAGGCAGTTTGTGTTTTTCTTTTTTCTTTTAAGCAGTTTGTGAAGATGGCTTCTTTATTACTAAAATCTCTTTATATAGGACAGTTTTCCC